ATGTGATATGATATATTTAAAATTTTAACAAATTATGCTTTATCATTTTTGTGTTTAAAATGAATAAACTTAATGTAGTTATAATAAACTAGCTTTAAATATAACCAATACAGATTATTTTATCTTATACCAGTTAATCATTCTTTAATCACAGTAAAGCAAGCAGTTTTATTATATTCTATCACTAAAAATTGTTTCTATAATTTAAAGATGCCACATTTTATGCATTCAAATAATATACAATCAAAATAAACAAACGCGAGTTGTAAAAATAAAACAGTGCTTGCATAATTTATTTGAGTTAGAAAGGAGTGGAGTATTTTAAATATTATAATTTCTGAATGATATATTCTGTTGAGATATTTATTATATAACGGTTTACAATTTTTTTAAAAAATAATTAATGATGAGCAGCTTTCCTCATCTGTACCAAGATGTTTCCAAGCTCTTCTCGCTTCCTCTTAGCACGAATGTGTGTACCCAACTAGAAAATAAAAGAAAATTATATTAATCTTATTTTAAAATCTTAATCAAAATACTCGAGAATCTCTGTATTAAAATAAATTTTTTGCTTTACAACATCAATCATTCCTAAGACAAAGAATAAACATTTTTTTGAAAATATCAAAATCTTTTAAATCCTTTCGCTATGTTTCTTATTCAATCTTATATATTAATCCATGAAACATAATGTGAAATATCATAAAATTGGACAAAGTAAGGTTATTAAATTCTTAAAAATTACAGAAAGATGTTTACCCTTCTTTTCAAAAATTTCAACGCGCGCTTGTCCTTGGACACTTTCAGCAACTCCATAGCACGCTTCTCATAAGGTGCATGTCCTGTGACCTCCCGAATCAAGTCTCTTACAAATTTACTGTGCTTAGTTTGCTTCTGCAATGAGAAATTAACATTTTCATTACAACGTGCGAGAAAATAAATAGCTTCTACTCCTTGTATAATAAATCGTGTTTCTCCATTTCATTAATTATAGAAACACAACGTGCGTATAAAAACAATAAGAGAGGTTGTACATCCTCTGCAATAAACTCACTCCTTTCAACCTGGACGGTCGCAAGCAGACGGTCTTCTCCTTCTCGGATTTGCTCTTTGCTACACGGATTTTAGTCGTTTTGTGACCCTTGTCAAGGCCGACGGCCAATTCGTATCTCGGAGCCATCCTGCGGACAGAAATTGGTTTCTTAGGTTATCTTTTAATACAAACGCTCGTTTAAGTTAAACACGCGCAATTTTCGTTCGATGTAACAGATTACAAGTTCAACTTGAATGCTGGAAGAAATATGTCGCGCAAATTTCTCCGATCGTGAACGGATCGCGACAATATTTTAAGATTCGAAAATTTCGCTAACCTTAGCAGCAGACGTGCATACGACGAAAGAACGGCGTTCTGGATTTTGGCTTCCACGCGCGCGCATGCGCAGTATGAGACCTCGTGCTCCGGACATCGCGCAACGCAGAAAATAATTCCATACCACAAAGATCCGTAAATGATTAACCATGAATAATTGCATAAATTTTATAGTTTAATATAATGATCTGTTTAATATAATGAAAATTGATGTAGAATCGTATCAAAAAGCTATCATTTCACATTACTTTTCTCTAAAGTGGAATTTCTTGACGCAGCTCCGAAGAATAAATATATATTAATAATTAATTTAAATATTAACAATTTGATTATATCTCTTTTCCATTGATAATTTTCTTTGGAATTTTCTTCGGATAATTTTTACGATTTTTGTGAAAGACATGCGTTTTGTTCAGCGGAAGTAGTCGGAAATATCTCATTTCCGTTCCGAGTGAAAGATACGCAAGCCTGACTTTTCTCTGGAGTTTGCAACCTCAAACAGAACACGTGTGAGCAAATGATATTGAGGGTGAGGAGCGTGCTTTTTCTCTCCTCCAGTACCTTTAATATTTATTAAGAAGAAAGGAAAAGAGGAAAGAATTTAATTGATTGCTTTTCTGACGCGGGAAACAAACGGAAAAAATGGGTTTGTACAATTTCAAGAAAATCGCGGTTGTTCCAACTGCAAAGGTTAGTTACATACATTTTTTTTTATTATCTATTGTTTTATATATTTATAATTTTATATTTAATATTTTCTGGCAAAACTAGTAGAGTAATGACATTTATCTTTTTTCTGCAGGAATTCATTGATATAATCCTCTCAAAGACACAACGGAAGACACCGACTGTTATTCACAAGCATTATAAGATCACGAGGATACGCTCTTTCTACATGCGGAAAATTAAATTCACTCAGCAAAGTTTTCATGATAAATTATCCAGCATAATACAAGAATTTCCTAAGCTAGATGACATTCATCCCTTCTATGCTGATCTGATGAATGTCTTATATGATAAGGATCACTATAAACTGGCCCTTGGACAAATAAATACCGCTAGGCATTTAATTGACAAGTAAGAAGATGGTGATTTATGTGTAACATATAAATAAAATCAATATGTAAGGTTTACATGTTTTATTATAGTGTGGCGAAAGATTATGTTCGTCTTTTAAAGTACGGAGATTCGTTATATCGATGTAAGCAACTAAAGAAAGCTGGTTTGGGTCGAATGGCCACCATTATGAAAAGACAAGCAGCTAATCTGACATATCTCGAACAAGTCCGTCAACACTTGGCTCGATTGCCAAGTATAGATCCTTATACACGCACGATAATTATTTGTGGTTTCCCAAACGTTGGCAAGAGCAGTTTTATTAACAAAGTAAGTGATATTTAATGATTATTTTAACTATTTTGCATACACAATGTGTTAGTTAATTATCTGTAATTTAATTTGTAGATTACTCGAGCTGATGTAGAGGTTCAACCATATGCATTCACAACAAAATCTTTGTATGTGGGACATACTGATTACAAATACTTGAGATGGCAGGTGATTGATACACCTGGAATACTAGATCATCCACTGGAACAGAGAAATGTCATAGAAATGCAGGCAGTTACTGCTCTTGCTCATTTACGAGCCGCCGTGCTTTATTTCTGCGACTTGTCAGAGCAATGTGGTCATACTTTGGAAGAACAGGTGAACCATGGGAGACAATATAATATTCTTTTTAATGTAACATTAATAATAACTATTTTGTTCATATAGGTAAAATTATTTGAATCTATAAAACCCTTATTCGCAAACAAACCTCTGATAATAGTCATGAACAAAGCGGATATTGTACGTTTGGATGAATTATCCCCAGAGAAAAGAGCTGTTCTGAAAGTATTAGAGGATGATGCAAACATACCTGTGCTAGAGATGAGCACTGTTACTGATTTCGGTGTGATGGAAGTGAAATTGGAGGCTTGCGAGCGACTTCTGGCCTTCAGAGTCGATCAAAAGATTAAGACTAAGAGGGTGATTTTTCTGACATTCTTTCTACTTTAGAAAATTTGATATGCAATTATAAAATACAATTTATAATAATTACAGGTGGAAGGGGTTCTTAACCAATTGCATCTTGCTCAACCAACAAGAATAGATCCTAATCGCGTTCCATGTATACCGGAAATCATTTTAAAAAAGAAGCAGGCTGCTGCGCAGAAAATGGAAAGAAAACGCAAATTAGAAAGGGAGATAGAGGAGGAGATGGGAGATGATTATGTGCTTGATCTAAAGAAGAATTACGATATCGAGGGAGATCAGAAGTATGACATTATCCCAGAGATATGGGAAGGTCATAATATAGCGGATTACATAGATCCAGACATATTTGAAGTTAGTACATTTTAGTCTTACAAGTTGATGTATCATGGCAAAATGCTACATTTTTTATGCCATTTTTTTTTTCCAGAAATTGAATAATCTGGAAAAAGAAGAGCAATTGAGGGAGCAGGCCGGCTTCTACGATTACAAAATACCAGAGTTGTCGGAAACAATGCGCGAGATTGGAGAATTGGCGAAACAGATTCGCGAAAAGAAGTTCATTATGAAGGAAGAGGCGAGAATATTAAAGGCTTCCACAAAACCAGTCATGCCGCGTACAGCTGCAGCTAAGACCCGTGACCGATCGGTCGCGAAACTGAAAGAGCAGATGGAAGATATGGGTGTGAGCGTGGAAGATACTGAAAATGTAAGTGTTATATGAATGTTATATTATTTTTAAGAAAATAGTTTATTACCTATATTGCACTATTAATTCGTTATATTTCGGAATATTATATTTAATTTTATCATATGTTAATCACAATTAGGCGCACTTCAAAAAATCAAGAACACGGTCCAGATCTCGCTCAGAACCTGCTAGAAAACGCATGCGTATAGAATCAACGTCGCGTGCCCGCAGTGTCTCGAAACCACCTCGCGATGAAATGGGTGTTAAAGATGTAGTGGTAAGTTAGAAACAAATATTTTAAAGCAATGATTTTATCTTATTTCTAAAAATTCAGAAAATTAATCTTAAATTGAAAAAATAAACTTTAAACTGATTTAATTTCTTTAGTGAAAATTATTGTTACGCTTATTGATTTTTAATTATTTTCTATTTTATATAAAATGTATTAAATTTATTCATGTGATAAAAAAACAGAAACATATCATTTTTCTTGCATCATCTTTATTACAGATGAAGACAAAACTAAAGACAATAGCACACAAGGCATTGAAGAAGAAGGTAGCCAAGAAAGGTCTTAAGGGTGAAGCTGATCGTTTTATCGGTAATAAGATGCCGAAACACTTATTCTCCGGCAAAAGGGGAATCGGTAAAACGAGCAGGAGATAAACTTTTCATTTATATCTTGTTTGTCGCGTTTCTTAATTTATATTGTGTACTTTTGTGTATATATACACAAAAAGAAATCGTTGCTTTGTAAAAGTATAATTTTCAATACAGACTATACTTACGATGTCACCATGGAATATTTTATTCACCGACGCTCGAATACTATCGCTGACCGATTAATATTTGATTTATGATCAGTAATGGGATTATATATGTAGTTTGTGAATGGATTCGCGCCTCAATCCATTAAAACAGAATGCGAAGACCGCTCTTCTGTCTGTTAGTCCATTATCGGTTGTTAAATAAACATCTCCGATTTGAGAATAGTATTTTTGTGACGGTCCGATGTGACATGAATGCGTATAGTTGCATAATGCACACAAGGTAACCTTCGAACTCGAACGGGGTAAGCAGCGGCGTCACGCTCAATGAAACTTTATTGCTGTCGTGGCGAGATAACCCGTCGCGCTGTGCTGGTAGATTTCACATTATATTCTATTCATAAAATGCATTATAACGCAGATTTCTCGACTCGAGACAATTTTATAGCTGTATAATTATATAAATAATAAAGATAAATAGAAAATCAATAAATCTTTCAACGCTCAAGATATATTTCGTCTTAATTTTATCATTATAAATATTATTTCAGGCTTAATTCTTAAGACATTGAATTAAAACTTGAAAAATTATGAAAACGGTTTTCTTTGATATTTTTAAAAATAAAATTAAAATATTTCTAATTTTGCATGATTTCCTTAAATAAATAATAAATAAATAGTATAATTAAATATCAGCATAAAATAATAAGAAAATAGAAAAAGTAGAGCCTTTTTTTATTGAAAACTCAAATTATAATAGTTGATATATAATAGTTATTAATTTTGCGCGGACTTTGTATGTTAGATTTTTTATTAGTATTACAGATTAGTATTTCCGAACATCTCAGTTCTCCAATGAGAGAAATTAATATAGAAATATAAGAAAAAAATTCTGGTTGGTATTTTGTAAAAAAATTTTTCAAAATTCGCGCCGTTTCCGAAATAAGTATGCGTTACTTCTTTCAAATCGTGTCCTCCTGGTATCTTGAACTTAGCTACAGAATTTAAATATCTGAATTATATCTTTTTGGTGGGAAATTTGAATCGCGTAACCTCTTATAACTTCTTGTCTCATCATGTTTCTCTAATAACTTTGACGATTTTTCGAGTGTAGCGAAAGACGCATATTCCAACTTATTCTATCCTTTGTCGACTCGATAATTAATCCGACTTTCCAGAGAAGCTGTAAATTAATAAATTTAGAAAAAAAGTTTAATTAATTGATTAAATAATTAATTTAATAAATGTAGAATATATGTTAAATGTATTATTGAAATTTTTTTAAACATGTATTTTCTCAAGAAAAAAGAATAATAAGATAAAAAGAACACATCTTTTACAAAAAAAATTCTAAATGAAAAAATAATTTAAATAAATGAAATATTATAAAACTTAGATATTTTAAATAAATTTTTATCCTAATAAAAATTTTATTTGAGATTATGTTATTAAGATATTAATTAAATATAAATTTGGAAAATTATGGAAAGTAACGGTTCTCTACAAGACAAACTCCGTTTTCGTTTTAATTAATAATTTATTTAGACACTAACACGCGGTAGGAAATGAAAGAGAAATGAGCGCGTTCTTTTATTGAAAACTGATAGATCATATATTTAAGACTTCGCTATAAATGGATCTCCATCAAACATCTTGTTGACAATCGAGAGATTAAATGGGACAGGAATAAGTTGGTGGAAGGGCGCCGCTGGTGATTAGTTAGAAATATAATTTACAATATAGTGCGCATACCAATGAGGCGTCATTAATTTTTATACAATTCGCTATATCGGCGCGTAGATCATAATTTCTCGTCATTCTTGTCGCGCGCTCAATAAATATACGGTGCACGTTACTTTGTAGTTAAAATGCGAATATTATTATCTCACGGATAGAGCTCGAAACGCTCACGCATGCATATGGAAATTACGTGCGGCGGTAATCGATTAGCGCGGATCTCATGGAAAAACGCATTAAAATTTTTACAAGAATGCAACGCGATCGTTACGTTGCATTCGGGAACGGCGGAGGGCGGGGGGGGAGGGAGTAGGGCGGAGGAGGACAGGGGATCGAGAGATTTACTCGAGAGATTTCTAGTCGTAATACTCTATAGGAACTAACAAAACCTTGATATAAAACAGGTCCGGTAGAGCGAAGACTTTAGCTTGTTTGTCATGATTATGTTAATAGACATCGACCCGCTCGTTTCGCAAAAGTCTACGTGGTGATAATAAATTAATAGATAGAGGATATGCGTTATAGATACATAATGACGTTATGGCGTTTCGTACGAGGAGACGCTCACCGGCTAAAAGATCGACCGATCATCATTGACGTTGCTGCCGACGTCAACATGATTCCATAACGACTTCTCTTTAGCCTGGTCAGAATAGAGAATGTCCTAATAATATAAAATATGATCGCTATTTAATAAGGAATATAATGACAAGTAAATATCGTTAGTATCACAGTCAATGCGAGACCCCGGACGAGTTCCAAGGGTCTGAGTGTTCGGTGATGCGTCGGATCGTCCAAGTTGTACGAGCTTGAAAAAAAAAAGAGGGGAGAAAATGATGGAAGTCTGAAAAAGTCGGAAATCCTAAAGTCGAACGACTGTGTAAGCTCGAACGACTGTGTATTTTTTTACTTTCGTTCACGTCGAAATATTAATATTATTAGTGTGTTTTAACGCGATGACGTGTGTGGCATCACCGAACCGCAATTCGGACGATTCTTTGGTGAGTCCTCGGCCATGGTAGACTGTTTCTTCTCTCTCTCTCTCTCTCTCTCTCTCTCTCTCTCTCTCTCTTTCTCTCTCTTATCTTCTTCACGAACAGGCGCACTCCAACACCTGGATATTCTTCCAGTAGGACACCTTCAGCTGCGTCGTGTCGTTCTCGTCGAAGTAGACGATCATCAGCTGATCGAGTTTGCTGGGCGCGCAGCACGGCTTCGGCACCCTCTTTCGGTCCTCCTTCCACAGCAGACTCTGCAGCAGGGCGTGATGGTGCGCTGGATTGTAACGGGGCGGGCAACGACCCTTGCAGTAGCCGGCGTCGAAGCCCTTCGGGTACACGATGAACTCAAAGCCCTTCAGATCCTTGAACATCACCGTCAGCTCGTGCCGGCAGCACTTCTTGTTGTTCTCGCCCTTGCACTTGGTGCGCCGGCCCTTGTGCAGCGGCATCAGTTCTTCGGGGGTGGATCTCTTCCTCCTGCCGCCGGGCTCCGACGTGGTGAACACGTTCAGCGTCGCGTGAGAGACGACACGCCGCGCCGGCTGGCCGTCGTGGAGGAACTCCAGCTCGAGACCGTGGTTCTCTAGGCCGCGCTCGAGCCAGTTCACGGCCGCCTCGGTGGAGTCCAACTCCAGCCACCGGGTGCCCGTCGGCTCACCCTGCGGGATCCCGCGCCGCAGCAGGAGACGCCGGGAGACCGGCGTGCGGAGATAAATCAGCGCCTCGAGCTCGCGCGGACACTGATGATCACCTTGAAGAAGGAATCTCAGGGACGCGTGATCGACCGTGACGTCCTCCGCGTCGCCGGAAACCGCAACGGGGAAATACAGGGAGTGACGTTGGTACCCTCCCCTCCGGCCGATGCTGAAGCTCGACCCGTTCCCCGAATGTTCTGCAACAAGAAACGCAAAGGTCGCTGATGAGTATATCATTATGTAAATGAAGAGTAAATGGAAAATTCGTCTTGTTCATCGAGATTCTTTCTCGATGAACACAGTTAGTGTGATATGGACGAACTTACGTGCGGCCATTAGCGAATTCTAATTACGATAGAACGTCGTGTAAATGTATAATATAAGAGATATTAGTTACGTATTATTAAAATGATAAATTGTCTTTGACATTTACGTAGAGAGAAGATGTTAATATTATTAATAGAATATAATGTGTCGTGTAATAATATAGCAGCGTGTAATGGCACTATCGCCTCGACAAAATGTAATTAATTATTAACGAAGAATGTTATACGTTACACAATATCGCTATTGAAGCGATACCTGAAACGAATGAGAGATAACAGATTCTAGTCCTTGCGGGATATTACCTATTAATTGGTAGCGGAGGGGAAAAACTCTGAATCCATTTTGGTTGCAATTGAATTCTCGCAACAATGACACGGAAGACTGCGCAGAAGTTTTGCTTGTAATCGTGACTCAGTTTTGCTCTGTCATCATTGTCAACGTGGCGTTTGTGCCTCTATGCACACACATATAAACGCATACATCGTAAGATTTACAGATTATATTCATGGTAAATTTAGAGCCATGGCGGACAACAGATCGCCTATCGTCTACCTCTTTACACCGCCGCAATAGGAACAAATCTTTTCGTGACCCTTAGACAAAACCAGACTACCGTGAATCAATTTAAATTCAATTTGATGACGTGTGAACTGACGTTTTATCACTATATCGCTCCAGTTTTTTTTTTTCTTGCGCAAACAAACCAAAGTCATGGAGAATCTTCAGTATTTGATATTTATAGTCACATATGTTTCGAAAAGAATTTTTCCCTAGGTCATACGTGAATTTACATTCGCGCGTGAAATTCATTTCTAACAATTTATTGAAATTCTAAGAATTTATTATAATTAAAATAATATTGTATATTTTAATAAAATTAATGGCCGGCATTGTAAAAATAAATTCGTGCGATCGTACAACTGCCGGGCGCTTGAGTCAAATTTGAACAAAACCGCGAGTTTACGACTAACAGACAGGAGGGTTTGCCGGAGTTTTAAAGTATGAAGTCGCATTATACATAAATGACAGGAACTGTTGAATTCCCGCCGGCCGATGCGACGCGCGTTGTCACAATTGTCTCACGCGTATTTACGGATGCGTTAGATGCACGCTCCGTGACCGCGACGAGCATCGCTGCTCCGGGCCGGGGATCATCGCTATTCGCCCACGCCGAGTATATTGGCAGAAGGATTCTCGCGAATCGCCGGATGGATACTCGTCGCGCATAAACAAACAGAACCCGCGATCTGAGTCACAAAACAGTATTCGGCCTTCCGACAAAATCGGCCGCGGCACGTAAAACGCCGATCTCGCCATTCGCGAAACAACCTGCGAGATGATTTTAGGCGAACGCCCCTAAATTTAATCCCCTTTTGACTTCATGTTCAGCTCGATGGAAGCCGAAATCAACGCGATTCGTTCCTCAATTAAATAATTTATTTGTTTATTACTCTGTGCCGCGTAACATTCCTCCGCTTCCGTTCCGTGCAGAATTCGGGGCGCTTTGAATTTCAATTTAACGATGACGATCCACTTTATTCTAGAGAAAAGGAAAAAAAGAAAGAAAAGGAAAAATGTCATTTTCTATCCGCAATATGTTACTTCTTCTCAAAATATTGTCAGAAGAATTGGTCGCGCGCCAATGTCGTAAATATCCCCGAACGAACATACTAATAACCGAGATTGCTCAAAGGAAGAATAAAGAATTTGTAAATCGCTCGTTTCGGCGGCTGTAAAAGTCACGTTCGGAGAGGAAAAAAGAGCGCGAGAATCGAATCCGTGAAAGAGAGATAAATTCTTCGGAGAGAGAGAGAGAGAGAGAGAGAGAGAGAGAGAGAGGAGGGAGGGAGGGAGGGAGGGAGAAAGAGGGAAAATTCAGCTCCGATCGGCCGGAATTCTCTTGCCCTCTCCGCTCCTCCTTTTCACTCTCGGAGCTGATTAAGTTTAATTTATGGGACTCGTGAGATTCCGTAAGAGAACTCGCGTGGCCATTAATTATTCGAGGCATCAGCGGCCACACACCGTTTTTCCGAGCTTGTCGTCCAGTGGTCGGCGCCGATATTACGAGTGTCACCATGACACTTGTAAGGATAAGGATTTAGACAGGAAGAAACGCTTCGCCGCTTCAAAAGGGAAAGGTCTTTAAAGATCTTTGTGCACCGGCGTGAAAAAGGGAGGCGTGATGTACTTTTCTCAGGACGGAACGGATGCGATTGCGCCACTTTTTCGTTCAAAACAATTCTACGCGCGCGTTATTATCTGGTTTATCTTGCCACTTAAATTTACAACTGTAGTGATTAGGTGTTATCTCGATAATACTTAGGGATACGAGAAAGGAAACAAAAGATCCGAGGAGCGAGGGCTCCGTTTGCTTTATCTCGAGACAACACGCGTGTGACACAACCGGCTCTAGCTTGTCGACAATTTCTCTCTCACGTGAAATTCTTTAAATAAACCGTGAGAATAGACGATCGACAGTACATTGAGAAAGAAAAGGAGAGAGAATATTGTGGAAAACAATGTTTATCCTCCTCGGAATTCGCGTTTCATTCGAAATTTCGCGAACTATCGATCGACAGCTCTTTTTCGAATCCATATCAGTTTTTTCTCTCGCCGTTTGACTGCATTTTAGTCAGAATTTGCGATTGTTCACCATGTTATTCAATGACGATAATTATGTGTAAAAATGCCGAGAAATTGGACGGTGCACGAACATAGGTCCGAGCTCTTTTACGGTTCGCCGCATGCTCAGAATGCGTCACTGATTAACGCTTTTATTTATGGGACGTCGCGCATACAGGGGGTGGGAGGGGGGGATACGAGAGAGGAAACTGCCGACTCTTCTGAAGAAAATTCGTGACATCGAGCTACTTTTAGGGGCCGACATATTTCCCGGTTATCACGTTCCTCGTATAACTTATATCCGACGACAGGCCAACGCACCGCATTGTTTCACGCTCGGTAGAATCGTAGATTTTCAAGTTTTCTCTCTCTCCTCTCTTTTTCTGTTTGTTTCTCGCGGCGCCACGGGATCCTCTGCTTTTAGAGAGCAACACTTAATCCTTCGTCTACCGAGTATTTCTCCAAATAGATCCACGTCTATTTCTCGCAAGTTTTCTCACGTGACTGGATGAAAAATAGGATCTTGTAAACGTTTGATACACACGCGCGAAATATCCGCAGAAAACCGCCGGATGTTCTCTCGCTATAGATTCCTCTGCTAATTTGGAGTCGATTTTCTTTTCTTTTCAAAGAGAAAGATCGTTGTTTATCGTAGCTTTACATGTTTGTAATTGCGTCTCCATAACGAATTATAATTCTACAATTAAATTTAATTTAATTATACATAAAAATATAATTAAATTAAATAGAACTATAAAATAATTAAATAGAACTATATATAAAAAACGTACATAAAAATCCGTAGAAATAATAATTAAACAAATCACGCGTTTATTATCAAAATCAACAAATGCGGAGCTTCAATAAATGTAGAATCAACTTATGTGGCTGCAAACTGAATTTTCCGGATCAATCGATCGCTCTAATTCTTCTTAAAGACGTTTTCCAGTGATCATGTTCAAATAACACGACGTGCATCCCGCGTGTTTCGGTGAAATCGCCAGTTTGTTTTTTTGAGCCACGGCGCAACGAAAGATCTACTTTTTAGAGAGAGAGAGAGAGAGAGAGAGAGAGAGG